GACATAGAACATAACCCAATGTTTTTGTGATCTATATTATACAGTTGTTCCTTTCTTTGATGAATCCATGGTGAAATGTTACCTGTGAGATGCTAAATTAAACTGAAGTGATGCTGTGTTTTCAGGTCATCTGAGCAGAATACACAGAAACTAGGAAAACAAATAATGTAGAGTCTCATGCAGTCAAGTTACCCTGCAAATCATTTTGCTGGGAGTGTTATACATACTGAATATTAATTACACCAAAAATTGAAGTAATGTACTGCTTCCTAGTATGGGATTCATAGCAAAATGCCATGTAATCAATAAACTGATAAACCACCATCAACTGTACTTTATAATCGCTCATTCACCAAGTACAAAAACCTGAGTTCAGGAGGGAAAGAAACTCTTTTTCTCCTCTTTTCTCTATTTGAAGGTTGCAACAACCCTCATCAGATATCAGGATTATCATTAAAGACTGACCAGAATGTAGACCCCGTTTGAAAGTACTCAGTAAGACCGAGCAACGTTTTATACATTATATATTCCATAATATAAAAGAAGCTGGATTATTTGAAAAACAAAATATTGGGAGGCAAAAATAAAGTAACCATCAGGATGCTCTAAAATGTATATAATCAGTTCAGATTGCCAAAGACAGGTTCCTTGGGATGTGATATCCCAGTACGGGTTTGTGTTTTGGTAAACACTTCCAAATCACCACTCAGGGTACTCTAACACACATTTTCCTCCCACAAAAATGTTTAAGTCCGTGTGGATGAGCTGCACCATCTCGGCGCTGTGCACTCCCAGAGCAGAGATGGTTAACTTGTGTGGCACGGTGGTGCTGTGGTTAGCATAGCATAAGCATAGGCCCTGGGTTAAAATCCAAGAGTTGCATGTTCTCCAGCTTCCTTACACAATTAGCCGTAGGTGACTGTGAGCATGAATGGTGGCCTGTCACTCCAAGTATTACACGTCTCGCACTATAACAGCCGGGGTAGTCTCCACCATGACCGTGAATTTGATAAGTTGAAGAAAATGGGTGGATTTTCTGCAGTGTAGAGGTTGATAAATTCACCTTACAGGGTTTGAGAATAAGTGACAAACCCAGCCTCAAGGGGTCACAGTGCAGCAGGAAGGGCATCCAACGTAAATTTTTATAAAGAAAAATGTGTCAAGCTGAAAGTACAGCTAGTATAACATCCTAACGTGTTTTTATGAATTGGTTAGCAGTAAGAGAAAACTGCAGTTCTGAAAAAAGCACTTTAATTCATTTCTAAAATCATCTTAAACTATTTCCACACAGGATCTGAAATCTCAAAGAAATAAACAACAACAACAAAAAAAAGTTTCTCTTCTGATATTGGCATTTCTACAGTGAATAGCTGGTGGCAGCATCAGAGGCCCGGAAAGGAGGCTGTGATGCTGAGCTTTAGTCCTCAGAGCAGTTGCACAGGCAGACTGAGTCCAGCAGGCTTTCTACACCCTCTGGTGTCAGTCTATCAAGCAGCAGCAGGTAGAAGCGCCAAAAACCAACCTCTGACTCTTGCCCAACACCCAGAGAGAGCCCTCTCCTCTCACACCACACACACACACACACACGTGGATGACACGAGACATGTACTGCAAGTTTCACATGGTGCAAGAAACAGATAAAGATATCCAATTTCTAAATTAAAGGTTAATGCAGACAACAGATGAGTGCCTGGTGCTTCACAAGACCTCTCTAAATGATTAAGTCTGAAGCAAAATAATAATTTACAAACAAACAACAAAACAAGGAGATTCTTAACATCATCTACTTGGTTTTGTTTTATTATATTAAGTTTTAAAAAGGACTGATAGCCTATGAATCACTACATCTAGTGGAAGTGATGTGACAGAGGCAGAGCTCCTATAAAGCACATAGAGCAGCAGTAAAGACAACCCATATCAACATGTTACTCTGGCATTATAGGAGCATTAGAGGAGAAACAACTTTAGTTTACAAATTATTTAATATTAATTGTTGCTTTTTCAATTCATCAATTCTTGTGAATGAATGGTTCCTCAATTTGTCAGGCAGTCTCTGAGTGAGTGAGGTTTGTCTCGGCAGAAGAGGTGAGACTGAGGAAGGCTGGATAAGTAGTTTCTTTTTTTTCTTTCTTTTTTTTAATTTAAAGGAAAATGTTCAACGTAAGATGATTCAGATTGATTTCTCCAACAAAGTGGTGCTCAGAAATTGTGAGCACATGGATTTACAAGACGGCCACGGATGAATCATAATCAACACTATTGTCCAAAACACGGAGATGAACACACAGTGACGGGGAGGACAGTGAAAGAGCCTGATGTAAAAGTAGACTGGAGCCTTGAATAGTCAGGATGGATGCCTCCCAGACCGGTTTCACAGTCCTAGACTCTCTGCATCCATCCCTGAAGCTTTCACTTTCAATTGATTTGTCTATACAGCATCCAAATAGCTTTTGTACTTCCCTTTAATCTTTACAGTTCAATACACTATAGTGCACAATAGGGTTTCTGAGCCTGGAGCTCAGGGTGGAGGGTGAGAGCACATAATCCTCACAGCGCTGCTTGATTTCAAGTCACTGTCGGGCCCGACATTCAGAGTCCCGCAGCCTGGATGCTCTGCTGCAGGACCCAGGCAAAACAAATAACCCACAAGTGTTTCTCCACGCCTCAGTCCTGCCCTGGGTCCTTTGCAGGGCCGCCGTCCAGGTAGATCTTGAGGGCCTTCTCTTTGCGTGGCGAGTAACTGACACGGTGTCCGGTTTTAAGCAGACGGCTGCTTTCCTTCTTCATTAGCTCGTTGCGCTCATCCTCTGACAACTCCAGAGGTTCTTCTGTGCTGTCCCTGCGCAGACAAAAGAGCACAAAAACATTGGAGGTCCCATTATACTCCAAATATAATAAGATCATTAGAAGAACTCCATGGATGTCGCCATGTTTTAAAATTGTAAGGGAATAATGAATGAATGAAAAAAAAAAAAGAAGAAAACATGTAAACTGAACTGAAACTTGAAGTCTTTTTTTTTTTTTAAGCTTAGTAGCTGCTTTCTTTAAAATATCTCTACTACTAGATACAGTTTTACAATTAAAGCCTGGATTACAACATAATTGGTTCAGAACATAGTAAGAAAGCTCGAATCTGCACTTGTACCACTGCCTTTTCAGTCATTACAGAGTCAGTGATGGAAATCAGATCCGTCAGCACTGACCTCATGCGGTCTCATTTATTAGCTGCATTGATTTGTGATTAAAATTATTTTTTTACCATCACAGCAAAGACAGATGCTACTATCTGTACCTATGTCCACATTATAGGCAGAAAATTACATTAAAAAAAAAAAAGATTAATTATTTAATATACACTCACTGGCCACTTTATTAGGTACACTTTCCTTGCACCACTTTGCCTTCATAACTGCCTTAATTCTTCATGCTGTAGATTCTACAAAGTGCTGAAAGATTCCTCAGATTTTGGTCAATACTGATATGACAGCATTAAAAAGCTGCTGCAGGTTTGTCAGTCATGATATGCGCTAAGAGAATATCCCCACATCATCGCATCACCACCAAAAGTTCAGTTTTGATGAGCATGTAGCCTTCTAGTGTCATTTGACATGTTGCATTTTCTCAGACGCTTTCATGATTACCTTGGTGTTGGTTGCAACATGTAGTCATTTGAGTTATTGTTGCCTTCTTACAAATCTGAAGGAGTCTCCCCTGAGTTTTAGCATCAACAAGCTATTTTTGAACTTGAGAAACTGGATATTTTAAATTTTTTCAGGCCATCCTTTGTAAACTTAAAGAGATGGTTGTAAAATAAATAAATCCCAGATCAGTTTCAGACAAGTCTGTTTGGCTCCAACAATCACATCATACTGAAATCACGCTTAAATCACCGTTCTCCATTCTCTGTTTGAGCTTCACCAGACCATTATCTTCACTGTGTCTACATAGCCAAAATGACAGTTGCTTACATGTAATTGGCTGATTAGATATTT